TTTAAAGTCATTAAAGTAGGAAAACAGGTTCTACAATGTGCAGTCTATACGCTCTTCCTGCCCCTAGAGTCACAGGGAAATGAAAAGAAAACATTGGCAGAATCAAACAGTATAGTGGCAAACCAGGCCAGAGAGTGACTTGCCGAAATTTAAAATCCATATAAATATAACAACAGTGAAACATCAAGATGTAAGGCACGTGAAATCAACTCCATTTGGAAAAGAATTAGACAAGTTAAGGCCTAAAATAAAAATCAGTCATATACATAATATATAGTTGAATAGTTAGGGGAAAGGGTTAACCAATGAGATTTGAATCCTAGCGTGAATTTCCAAATAACAAAATATGAAATTAATAGATACTCAAAGAAGGATTTAAGATTTACCTAATATTGTCCTCATCTGCCTGAAATGAATCAGGCTTGGACCCAAGTTTCATGAATTTCATTTTGCCAAATTAAATAATCAGCTCCTCTGCTTCCACTTCAGGACTCTAATTTCTGACTTCTGCCAAATCCACAATATAGTGAACCAAAATCACCAGAAAGACTTCAAGAAAAGAAAAACCTCTCAAATGAAAATCGACCAACTATTTGAGCAAAATAAGAATGAATCAAAGGTTGCTTGAAGATGAGTTTCTTAGTATGACCGTATCTTGCCCACAAAATAAGGCCAAAATAAGAAAGAGAGAAATGAGTTACTAGGGGCAGTTTGATTCTTGATGAGGTGAGGTAAGTTTGCTTCCTAAATTGGTTACAGAGTCCAAAGACTCAGGACTAAGAAGGTTAACAAAGGAGACAATGCCTAAAAACTGTCTTTAAACATTTATATAAACTAAAACATGAGAGACAACCCCACTTGCTCAAAACTGACACCACCGTCCTTATATGATTTGTTTATGCTCCTTTTTCTTGTTTTTGCTTCTCTTTTTATCAATGGATCTCTCTCACACACACTACTAGTAAACCCTTTTCTTCTGGTCCACAAAGCTTCAAGAATCCAAAATCCTTTACAAATCAAAATACCCTTGCAGCTCTCGAATTTAAGCTACAAGCACCTGCAACCAGAAAACAGCATATCTTGGTATCAGTTCAAAGAACCACCGAAAGAGTGGACAACAAGCATCAATTTTGGGGGTTTCTAAAAGAAAGATTGGGCAAGAGAGCATCACTACCAACAAAATTGTTAATTTCAAAGTGGAGGTGAATAAGCAAGATTGCTAGAATCAAAGTCAAGAATGTGTCACAGAAATCAACTTAAGAACATACTATATTCTTTAACAAAAATAAATAAATAAACAAATAAATAAAAGCAATAAAATTAAAAGACCTGACCACAGGAACTCATAAGCAGCTTGAGAAAACCACCCAAGAACATCCTTGCCAGTAATTTTACAATAAATGCAAGAATTTAAAATCATACACAATAAAATGGCATCCCACCAACAAATTGAAATTGTTTCATTAGACTATTAGCATGCAAGAGCTAGCTCTATAGCAGATATATTCAATAAAACTCAGGTGAAGTAAAGCAAAATGCTGGCCAGTAACAATAGTTTTTTAGGAGAAAATCATAAATAAGAAGAAAATAAAAATCATGAAAATCAAATTATGGTACTTTACCTTGAAGATATCTCTGTAGAAACAGCACAAAAATGTCCTAAAGCAAGGGTCTCTCTCTCTCTCTCTCTCTCTCTCTCTCTCTTAGCACTTGGACAAGTACCAAAGAAGAATCAAAATATGCATGGCAATGGGCACACGGCTATACAACAGAAAAGAACAGAACACAATCGTTCAGTGCATGAGAGGGGGCCTATTGCCTGCAGGACAAAACCCAAAAGGAGGAACCCCACATACCACCAAATCCACCCAACAAAACCAAAAAATTTCCAATCAAAAAAGATGAGCTGTTCCTCATCCAATCTTTTGACAGCCACCACTGCCTATATACATAACCCACAAAACGCCAAATCGCAGAATGTTCCCTACCCCTATTTTCCTTTGAATCAGCACCACCGCCCCCACCACCACCACCAACACCGCCAGCACCACCACTTCACCTATATATCATTAGCTTATATATAGACTCATAAGAAATATTAAAAAAAAAAAAGGAACTTTTAAATTATTGAAACTAGTGATTGAATTTTAACTAAGTATCCTCGTTTCACTTTGGCAACAATGAAGACAAAAAAACTTTATATTTGTTTGGCCGTAGAGAGTAAAAAGAGTTCATTTCAAAGAAGAGAACCCAAAAACCACGAGGCCCCCACTACCCACCATTTTCTTCAATTTTCTTTCCTTCTTTCTTTCTTTTTAAAGTTAAAGATCTCCTTTGCTTTTTTTTTTTTCCCTCTTTAACTTTCTAGCTCTACAGCCAATCTGACATGCATGACTTTGGTGTTTCCTTTCTCAAATACAAACTGACTTTAGTGACTTACCTTGTGTCCTTCGTTTTTAATGAACAAGAGAAAGAAACTTAGAAACAGCCTCTGTATACCAGAAAACGACCCATCCATCTATCTCCCTCTCGTACTTCGATAATAATGGTATCCATCTCATTTTCTTATTGTATCCAATTCTTACAGTTAAAAAAACCAATAAAGGTTGTCTCTTTTCCCTCTCGTGCCCTTTTCTTTTTTTTTTTTTTTTTTTTCTTACAGTTAAAAAAAACCAATAAAGGTTGTTCTCTTTCCCCTCGTGCCCCTTTTCTCTTTTTTTTTTTTTTTCAATAATCCGTGCTATCAAACACTGTTTATCTAGGTATCCACCAGTGGCTGATTAGGCTAGCAAAAAAAAAAAAAAAAAAAAAAAAAAAAAAAAAACGCAAAATGCCTTTTATTATTTAATAAATAGAGGAAAAAAACTCCCAAAAGTCACTAAAAATAAAAAAAAAAAAAAAAAAAAAAAAAAAAAAAAAAAAAAACGCAAATGCCTTTTATTTATTTATATAATAGAGAAAAACTCCCAAAAGTCAAAAATATAAAAGCAATATGAATAATTTTTTATCATCTATAGTGTGATTATTTTTATTATTAATAAATGAATATTTTATATTGTTCCACCTGAGTATTTATTTAAAATTTTAAAATATATTAACATTTTTTTTGATTTTTTTATATTTATTAAGTATTTTGTAGTAAAATTTTGACAACCACAATACATCCATAATTTGATTATCAATGCCATTATACATAACATGTCATCTTTTGATTGGCATTTGCATAAAAGCTGAGTTGGAAGGATAAAAAAAAATAAACTATCTAAAAATTGAATTGGAACCACATGCATTAACTTATGTTTGATGTTTTATATATAAAAATTGAGATAAATTATGATGTTTTATTTGATAAGTGGTAGCAAAATATAATATAAAATATACTTAAATATAATAGTTAGATTAAAAATTTATTTGATAATATTTTTATTATGGTACACTAAAAAGTTTAATTATGCTTCACATGCATGAGTTTATTTTTCAATTATATAAAATCCATATAAATGACGGCATCATGACTCATGATTGACGTGTGATTTACATTATTATATCACAAATTAATTCCAATTTAGAGAAATTGTCGGAACATATTCAATGCATGTGAAAATAAAATAATTGCACATCAAAAATAATCTTTTCCTCATCAAATCCAAGATGCGAATTTAATATAAATAATAAACGGTTTTTATTGGTGAATTATCTACTACAAATGTTCTTCATTTTTTTATTTTTTTATCTTTTCTAGTCACATTTTTTCTTGTGTTTTTTCTCTAAAAAATTAAAAATTTTTATAAAGTGAAATGAAATGACAAGAATCTTTTCTCTTTAAATTAAAGATTTCGAATTTCAATCCTATTATCTTTTTAAAGATCTGAATTAATTAAATAAGTGCATTTAAGGTACAAAACAAAAATAAAGAAAAGGAAGAAGGAAAAAAACAAAGAGAAGGTAAGAGTTATCTTGTCCAATCAATCAAAATGATGAACATCTATTCCTCAAGTGGACAAATTGAGACCACAACCTTTAATTCTCTTATCCAATTCCCAATTTTTTTTCCCATTCACAACCCAATTCACATGCAATGCTCCAATGTCATTACAAATCAATCTAAAATTATATATTTATTATATTAATTAATCACTTATCTTATTATCATATTCTCCTTGTTTAATCTTTAAACACATCCCTATGATAATGCTTAATTTTCTTAATATTACTTTGCATCAAGAATCTCACCCAATACCAAATACTAATATATATTTTTATTTTTGCTCACCTAAAAAAAAATTAATAAATAAATAAATAAATAATGCTGCTATATACAGAATCTATGCAAGATGATATTGATATATTCTTTGTACAAATGTCGGAAATCTTAATTAAAATTGACCTAAACTAGAGTCACAATCTTTGAAAGATCCTATCCATGATGATTGGTCGGTTGGGTTTTATTTTATTTATTTTATTTTATTCATTTTTCATGGTCAAAGGATTAATTATAACGAATTTATTTTTTGCCTGTGGACAATATTTGATAATTTGGAGCTATTTAAAAAAAAAGAAAAAAAAATTATTATCTATTTGTTCTTGAGATATGATTCCCACTTGAAGGAAAAAAACAGTATTGATATGTCATCTTGTGTTCTGGCTTATACACAGAGATTGACCCATAGCATGTGATCATCTTTTACTCCTTCAAGTTGAAGCCTTTTTTTGCCTAACATTTTCTTAATTAATTCTTTTTATCAGAAAATTATATATCCTGAGGGGACCGTCATTTTTAATTAATTAATTAATTAATTACCCAAATTAATTTATGATTATACTAGTCAAGGATTTTATATATATTAATAGCCAGTGTATATTGTATATTAAAGATTAATATTTTACAACTGAAAAAATTACATATTTAGGCCATAAAAACATTTTTTCTTCTAAAAAATATCATATACAATATATAATTTTCTCTCAATTCTTTATAATAATAATGAATCTCTTATATTAAATGCTTCGTAAAATTTTTTTAATAAAATTTAATTAGCTAACATTATTCACTAATTAGAATTTTATTTTAATGTTGACTTGGATTAATGGAATTTAAGTAATGAAATTAAGACATTCTATTTTTTAAATTTCTTTGTTTGATTTTAAAAAACAAAAAGTCATAATTCATAGAAATATTAAATTATTCTTTTACCTTAATTCCAAATTTTTTAGAATAAAGAAAAATTTCACATGATGAATTTTTTAATCACATCTTCTTTATTAATGATAGAATTTAAATCACTTAGGTTCCGTTTGTTTTCGTAAAATAACTTGTAGAAAAATATTTTTTAAAATTTTTCATTATTTGGGGGCTCAGGGAAATAAGTCAACAGAAAATATTTTTATGGTCAAAGGAAAATTAAGTCATTTTTTAAGGAAAACAACTTTTCATTTTCGAGAGAGTAAAACATTTTCCAGATATTGACGAATTTTATAAATTCATATTTTTTAATTTATTAATTATTATGGTCACTACCACCGACCACCATCACTAACCACCAGCGGCTTTCATAATTTATATCTTTTTTTGCATTCTTTTCATATTTAATAATAAAATTTTTAAATTATAAAATTTTTTCTATTATTATTAATATTTTTTATGATCTCTTTTTTCATATTTAATAATAAATTGTTTAAAATTTAATAAAATTTTTTCTATTTATTATTAATATTTTTTTTATGAGTTTATAAGATAAAGAAGTTTAATTTTTTAACTAAAATTTCAATATTACATCAAAACAACGAAATATATAACGGTCATTTGGAAAATTTTTTTAAGATGAAAATTTTTCAGCACACGTCTGCATTCCTTGCGGAAGCCAACAAAGGAGCCTTAATTTATTGCTAAAAATGCCTCTTCCACATTCAAAATATTATTTTTCATCTTTTTTTATTAAATAATAGATTTAAACAACTTAATTTTATTAAGAATATCTTTCACGCAAATTGATAAAACAATTATTTTCTAAAAATAAATAAAATTCTGTAAATTTCAAAATCCAGTAAAATTTATACAAATTTATGATTTGGCGTTTCCTAAAATTCCAAAAACATCCGATTTAAAAATATATATATATATATATATATTAGTACTATATATAATAGTATAATTATAATAGGATCGGAGTAGAAATGATGTCGAGGGAAAAGAATCAAATGTAAGAGGGACATTTACAAACTCACACCAACCACTCATTTGTGAAAAAATCATACATGAGGAGGAGGAAACTTGAGGTAGAGAAGAACATGTAGAGGACATTCTACAAACTCACACAAGTAGTACTATACTCAGAATTTTGAGAGAGAGAACGGATAAGAACGAAGCTTTATTGTTTGCTCAAATTAGGGTAATTAATGGCAAGGCACATGTCACAGATTCTCATGCTGTGGGTTTAACTGCACTTGGGAATTTAAGCAGAGTTTAAAAATAGTATAAATGTGAGGACCATGTCGAACTAATCATCATATGGTCAATATTGTTTTCAAATATCTAGCTTTAAAGCAAGAATCCCTCTGACATGTTAAGTGCCTATTTCAGTGCATCATCTTGATTGCTTATTGGTCCAATCAAATTTTCTAAACACTTACAAAGACATTGGCATAGACTCACTGTTCTTTTTACGTTAGTAACTTAACTAATGTGATATATATTGGCAAGCATAGAGAAAAAAACACAAAAAAAAAATCTTAAACCCATTGTTGAAACAGAAATCGTTGGGAACACGAAAATACAGAGAATCATATTTTTCTTTGATTTTATTTTCAACATACAAAGAAAGACAATATTGGCAAGTATTCTCTAGGTGACTGCATTTTCTCTAGTCCAAGTTAAATTAATGCAGTGAAGCCTACATTTCTCATTGGATACCTATTCCTTCCTGAAAACCCTCCTTGGTTTTGTTAAAGCTTGTCTTCCTTTCCCCTATAAATAATTGCTTGTTTATCAGCTAGAAGTCTTCAAATCAACCAATGTTAGTTCAGTGATTAGAGTCTGGATCAAAATAGTCTTTAATATCCAGAAATTAACTTAATTCGTTGCTATGATAGTGATACATGCAAACCCCATTGCATAATAATAAACAAACCAAGTGTTCCACTGTACTGATCATTAGGTTTATATATGTATTTTTTTTTGCGGGAAGTGCTTACAAAGTCCAAACAAGGAATTCATGAGGCAAATATTAGGTTTTTGTTTTTCCTAACAAAGTTACAATAAGTGTAAGTGATAGCTTCTCTTCAAGTCACATGAACCATCATGTTGAAAGGTAGATTAGATAGAGAGTATCAACATGTAACCAATCCAATGAAAATACTTATGACAAGAGAATATGAAAAGAAGACCCAATCAGATGCTTTTTGGCAGTTCTTTTTTATGAATCTTTTTATTTTATT